TCTATCTATCTATCTATCTATCTATCTATCTATCTATCTATCGATCTAAACAAAAAAATGCAAGTTAACTAAAAATAAAACTAACAAAAACAATGTTATTTTACTGTTACTATACTATTATAGTTTGTGTTAATATTTTGAAATCGATTTTATTTTTATATTTTCAGTTTTCACTTTAGTTTTAAAGTAGTAATTTTTTATGCATTTTATGTCATTTTTATTATGTCTATATAGTTTTTTATCCAATTTTATTATGTGCTAGTTTTAGTTTATTCAGTTTGAGTTATTTCAGTACTTCAATATAAGCAAAAAAAAAAGATGCCTTGGCAACAAGCTGAAATTAAATACAATGACATTTCCAAAAGAAGTTATTTTTTTTTTATATTTTATTTTTTATTTCAGTTAACATTTATTTTAAGTAAAGTAATTGTTTAAATGAGGTTTAGTTTTAGTTTAACCATAATAACTCTGAATTGAAACAAATCTGAAATAATATAATATATAAAGCAACATAAGGAATTGAATTACTAAATTAGATTAAATTAGTAAAAACTAAAAATAAATAAATAAATAAATGAAAATTAGGAATTAAGACAGTTAAAATTAGAAATATTACCATACAAATAAATAAAAATTAGTGCTAAAATGACTAAAACTGTAGTTAACTTCAGAGATTTATTTAAACTCTAAATTGAAATAAATCTGAAATAATATAATATAAATAAATATAAATAATATAATATAAAACAACTTATGAAATTGAATTCCTAAATTAGATTAAAATACTAAAAAAATATAAAAATGAAAATTAGAAAGAATGTTAAAATTAGAAATGTCACCATGTCAGATAGCAAATAAAATTAGTACTAAAATTACTAAAACTATAGTTAACTTTAGTTGAAAATTTAAATAAATCTGAAATAACATAAAACAACATAAGAAATTGAATTACTAAATTAGATTAAATTACTAAAAATAAATAAAAAAATGAAAATTAGAAATTAGAATGTTAAAAGTAGAAATGTTACTATGTCAGATTACAAATAAAATAACTAAAACTAAAAAATAAATTGAAGCTTAAGAAAAGAAATGCAAAAAAACAACAACAAAATTACTAAAAGTAATATTCAAATTAAATGTGAATATCCAAAAAAATCTATTTCAAAATATTATTAAATACTATAACAGTATATAAATAATACTAAAATAACACTGGTCATAATGCTTCATTATTACTGCCAGATGTTGCAGTTATGACATTGACCAGCAGAGGCAAACTAATCAAAACTAAACAAAACAAACTAATCGGACCAAGCTAATCAGCTAAACCTCAAAACCTTGTCATACTCCTATACAAAATAGCTGACCTGGGTGTTAGCAAGATGTTTGATGAGCGAACTGACTTCTGACTCATCCTCTGCTCTTTCTCGCTGACCTCATTAAGATCTGCAGATACATTAACAAGTGACGTGACATGTGGCCAAGTATGGTGACCCATACTCGGAATTAGTGCTCTGCATTTAACCCATCCAAAGTGCACACACACAGCAGTGAACACACACACCGTGAACACACACCCGGAGCAGTGGGCAGCCATTTATGCTGCGGCGCCCGGGGAGCAGTTGGGGGTTCGGTGCCTTGCTCAAGGGCACCTCAGTCGTGGTATTGAAGGTGGGAGAGAGCGCTGTACATTCACTCCCCCCACCTACAATCCCTGCCGGTACGAGACTCGAACCCGCAACCTTTGGGTTACAAGTCCGACTCTCTAACCATTAAGCCACGACTTCCCACATGCTGCATTTACAGTGTTTGTCTGTCTGTGACGGAGGCGAATATATGCGAGTTGTGTGTTGGCGGCTCTCTGATGTGTCTGCTCGCTGCTGTAAAGTGCAGAAGTGCGATTTGTCACAGTTCTGCCGTAGATATGTGTTCTGTTGTGACAAGGCATCAGAGAACGGAAAATTTTTTGTTTGACGTGACAAGGCTTTCGAAACTACAAACCCTGTTTGTAGGGGACATTTAATTAGTGATCGCATGCATTATTCATGATTTAATGGCTCATGGGCAGGATTTTAGCCACACTGGAGAGCATTAGCAGTGAGTAAGCGGTCTTATTATTGAAAACTTTACAAGACTAATGACTGGTGTTGGGTTTTTATTTGCTTGGGAAAAAAAGAAATCGAGTGAGACAGAGATAAATGTAGACCAGCACGGATCCGAGTCTAACCGCTATCCACTACTCGCTGGCACAAGTTATTAGATGCTGCAGGTATTAAAGTAAAAGCATTAATTTTCTGCTAACATTATCATCTTAGACATACAGTACAGCTGAAGCCAAAGCTCTGTCATGCATATACTGTACACACATACCGTATAGCCTGGAATTCCATCTTTTCCCGGCCTTCCCTGTGGAGGAGACAACATTCCCATCAATCTTTGCAATTTAAATAACTTTGCATTGCTTATAATATCCATGCATAACTAGATGGTCCAATGTGCACAAATGTTTTGAGATGCTATTACAAATCTACTTTCATAATGTTCTTTTAGAAGTGAAAATGGAAGCAAGTTTTCACCTCAGAGTATTGAGTGATCAGTGGTGTATAAAGTACCTGAAAGCCATACTCCGATATCTTACCAGAAAATGACTTTGGTAGAAGTTGAAGTCCCCGTTTAGAATATTACTTGAGTAAAAGTCTTAAAGTATGTGATATTTATTGTACATAAGTACGAAAAGTATTTTTTAAATCTTAAACGTACTTAAGTATTGAAAGTAAAAGTACAAGTAAATGCAAATTGGAAAAGAACCAAATAAATATATATCAAAAAATGTTCATACACAGCTTGAGTAGCAAGATTGTGTTCAGCTTTAACTATTTCTTCTATTTTGTATTTTTGGGTAAGAATAAGAAGCACTTCATCCGGTACTTATAGTGTCTTTCATTCCAACATAAGAAATCATTTCTGGAATCTGCATCTGAAATAGCATTTAGATGTATTTACACAGTTTATGTATCTCAGAGGGGACATGGATGCATTTAAACTGCAGTTTCAGATGCATAAATAGGCCTTAAATTTGTTTTTAACATAAAACGTTGAATACTGATATTTGAAATCATTTAATTTTAACATGAAAAAAAGTCGAAATGTGAAATTACAACCGCCAGTAGGTGGCAGCAAGTGACTGTTAATGAGTGAGTCATTGAGATTCAACCGATTCATTCAAACGACTGATTCATTCAGGAACAAAGCATTTGACTGTGTTAATGAGTGAATCACTGAATCATTTATTCAACCGATTCGTCCAAAAAGCTGATTCATTCAATAAGTAAACACCGTCCATTGCTCAGAGACGCAAAACAGTGCTCTGATCTTTATTTTGAACTATTTTAGTTGGCAAAATTGAGCAAAAACAAGCAATATGATGTCTAAAATGTAAGTCACTTATTGCTTTACTGAACTTGTATAAAATTATTATTAAATGTGTTATCATGCTGATATCTGCAGAAAAACGATCCTCTTTGTATGATATAGATTAAGGTAACTATATATTCAATTATATAAATATAAAAAGCATTTTTGCCGTCTACAATTTAGAATGCCTGGAACTTTGAGTTGTAATAGACTAATAAATCAACATGCGTGCACTCTGTGTGTGATTTGGTGATATACTCGATAATGTCAGATCGCACATCATTACAACAACACTTACCATATTATCGCAGAAGATTAAATTTGTTTTTAACATAAAACGTTGAATACTGATATTTGAAATCATTTAATTTTAACATGAAAAAAAGTCGAAATGTGAAATTACAACCGCCAGTAGGTGGCAGCAAGTGACTGTTAATGAGTGAGTCATTGAGATTCAACCGATTCATTCAAACGACTGATTCATTCAGGAACAAAGCATTCGGAGTAAAAGTATACATTTGAATTAGGAAATGTAGTGGAGTAAAAGTAAAAGTTGGCTGAAATATAAAAACTCAAGTAAAGTACTTTAAATACTTTACTCAAGTAAAGTATTTACTGCAGATACTCCTAAAAAATACTTAAGTACTGTAAGGAAGTATTATTACTTCGTTACAGTACACCACTGTGAGTGATCTATCTATCTATCTATCTATCTATCTATCTATCATCATCTATCTCTATCTATTTCTATCTATCTATCTATCTATCTATCTATCTATCTATCTATCTATTCATCCGTCATCCAACCATCATCCATCCATCTATCCTATATCATCATTCTATCCAGCCATCCATCATCTATTTATTATCAATCTATCCATCCATCTGTCCATCCATCCATTCATGTATTTTAAAGTGTGTCTAAAGTATCCACACACTTCTTGGTGCTACTCTTCGTCACATTACACAAGTAAAATGTGTTGCAAATACTGTCAACTTTGATGTAGTTTAGTTCGTACTTGTAGTTAGTTTAGCACACATTGTTCCACTAAGGTTAAGAGCGAACAATTAGGACTCAAGCTACATAAACTAGGAATAAATCTCAAAATATCACCTGGAAGAAACAGGAATTCCTCAGGGGAATTCTGTGTATTCAGTGGAGGTGCTGAAGGCATTACGGCTGTGCGAATAACGAAGCAATTATATGAGACCCGTATAGCCACTGTACTCCTTCACTGAGACAGCCAATCAAACGTTTACCCCAGTGACTGCACTCATTACCACAGCACAAACCAGCCGGGTTTAACGCCACAGTACAGAGAAGAATACGAGGAGATTACTCTGTGCTATGAAGTGAGATATTACAGCCGAAAACATTCGCTGTGATTTGAAGAGAACAATCTGACACAGAGCTCTGCTTTATGCTGCTATATCACACTATATTTGTGTCAAACATAGTAATTCAGCCAATCTAAACCTCTATATTTCCAGTTGTGTAGTATACCTGATGCTTGTTTACAGTGATTTTTAGCATTCTGGGATCTCTAATTAGAAACAGCCCAGACTCTGAATCAAACTACAGGCCAGTCACTAGAAATCAAGAACTGAGGAAAAACAGAATGCTTGTGCCAGAACTCTGAATTCACAGCGAGTCAAACTGTGAATCAATCAGCAGACTAATCAGTTAATTAAATCTGGTCTGCAATTCAAGGATGGATCAATCTGTTATAAGATCACAGAGTTGAAAACAGAAGACAGAAACTAATGAGAACTAAATGTTATTATACAGGGTGTAGATCACAGACAGGTGCAGCATAAATGGTAGATCCAGGGACCCTCGGGGCCACAAAAGGGACCACAGAAGATCTTAATTATTAAAAAATAAATAAATAAATTGTAGTTATTCTATTATATTGACAATTGCATTTAGTTATAGTCTCTTTAGGTTTATATATATCATAATATCATAAATTATGTTAATTATTTGGAATAATTTGTAATTATAAGTATCATTTATTAATATTAATATTAATAACAACCAATACTACTAATAATAATAATTATAAATAGTGTTGGGCAACGATTAATTGTGATTAATCGCATCCAAAATAAAAGTATGTGTACATAATATATGTGTGTGTACTGTGTATATTTATGTATATATATATATATATATATATATATATATATATA